ACCCTACTAGGCCGCTAAGGTAAGAGTATACCCATCGCTGTGAAATGCGCGTCGTTCCCTAGAAGATCTGCCTGCTTTCAGACTAGGTATATTTCCCTTTTCTAATTCCCTTCGAGCTTCTCGTTTCGCGAAAATTCAGATGTATTTGAAGGCTTAAAGCTTTCCTTCCGACAAATGCTTAAACAAAATCTGAAACTTTCTGTTTGAATTGTCATAGTAATTCAAACGTGACATTGCACGAGGGTTGGCCATAGTTCAAGGTTCAAATAATTTCGTGCTTAAACTTTAAAACCAGTTTTTGTGGGAAAACCGTACCGCCAGTTTTCCGTATAAATGCCAGTTTTCGACCTGTAACCACTACAAACTTTTCGAAACGGTTCTGGAGAAAATTGGAAGTTGTCATGAGAAACTACGAATTTTGGCTCTCGAATAAGTACCGAAACTTTCGAAAAGGCATTTTCCTCAAAAATCTCCCGTGGATAATATGATTTCGGGTTTTGAAAAATTCTTTCGACGTGTCGTCGAGCTCCACTGAAGAACTTTTTCCATCCTCTTTTCGTGTTACAAGTAAAGTTCTCACAGGAAACTTCAAGGTTTGGGCTATCGGCAAGTTCTGAAACTGGAAATTGAAAAGCCAGAATTTGAAAACTGTATTTCGATGTATTTTCGCTAATGTATTTCATTTTCGAGACTTTCGTTCGACCTTTTGGGAAAGCTCGAAATTCACATGGCCATGGCTCCCTTCGAGAATTTCCCAGAATCATGGGGAGCTTTCAGAGTTGCGCTTCGAATCATTATTAATCTTTCTCAGGAACGCATCAAAACCCTAGTGATTCAGAATGTTTTTCATAAAAAATCTTTGTGATAGTCAGCTCTTCCATTCATTGGACTTCTATGGTCTAGCTCTGTCCTGGAAATGATTGTTCTTGAAATATTCTCTTCGCTCGCGTTACTGAAATTTGAATACACAGGCTGGGAAATGCTGCTCTGACTGAGATGGACTACACACCATGTATAGTAGCGATCAAAAGTTTAGGATTTTTGCTTTTGACCTAGCGCAGCCAATAAACAACGAAATTGCCTCATATTCGCAGTTTGTAGGCAAAATCATGTGTAGAATACGATGCGCAACCTAGTTCCCCTGAATCGAAAATCATGATTGGAAAGAACAAGCTTCTTGGCTTTTTTGAAAGCTTTTTTGAAGATCGATGCTTCAAATGTTTGAAAACTACAATTTTGGGCGAATTCGTATAATTCCTATGGAATCCACGTGAAAAGATAGTAAGTAATTCGCTGAGTAATACATAATTCGTAATTGCATAATTCTATGACGGCATTGCTTTGACTGGCATGAATTGATATGTAAGAACTCAAGAGCTATTCTCTGACTTGCACAACATCACTTAGTTTCACATCTTGACTACCTCGCTTCGTAACAGCTTTTGGGTTTAGGAAGGCGGCAGTGAGAGGGTAGGCTTGCATTGAAGTGATAGAAAATCCATATTTCTCGGCTAGTTCTTACCATCAAAGAGAAGCATTGTATTCTCCAGACTATCCTTGTATTTAAGCCCAACCCACATTTGGGCTGGATACTATTTAAGAAATCGCGGAATGGTCTGACATGTACGTCCTCCTTTATGAAAGCACTTCCACTCTTTCTGACTTGGGATTCAGATAATGGAAACCAGGTTTCCCGCTGACAGAACACTTCAAAAAGTTGACAACTTTATTTAAGGCAACTAGAAATTAGCGTCGCTGAGCAGAGTTTCGTACCTCCTTTAGCCCAGGCCAGCCGTTAGCTCACAGAACTTATTCGAGCCTTCTCTCTTTTGGAGCTCATTAACACATTCACGACGGCGCCCCTTTTCCACTTTTCGGTCGCGTGGGACGGACGCGATTTTGTGGGCGCCGCCGCCTAACCTCACATCCGCAGATTTTGTACTGTAAATGAACAAAACATGAATGTCACAATATTAGGTTGTCCCATAATTAGTGAATCACTTTACATTTATTGCTATAAATTCCAAGAAAAATCTTGAAGGCGTGAAACATGTTTTGCCAAGTAGTACCCACATTGTCCTACCTGAGCAATTAGTCAGCCCATTCACATGTTGCCTTCCGAGGCTTAAACTCAATTTTTCTGGAATCTTGCCCCAACACGATATGAATCGCCATGTTCCCTCTGGTTTCCCAGCTTCCCTTCAGTGATCACCGTGCTTATTCACAGTGTTGTGAAGTGGGTGAAGTGTGCCAGCAAATCCACAAGGACACATGAAAAGGGCCTTGCACTGGGTACGAGCGCCCAGTAAAACTAGGGTCAGTGAATAAGGCAAACGTCGACAGCATAATGGCGACGCGTTCCATCTGAAAGTGTGGGGTCATTCGACCCCACCTTTCGGAAAATGTTCATAAAAAATTGGAGACCTTCAGGCTAGCAGTTCTTCCAGCTCCACCGTGTAGATCCTCGTACCAGCGAAAGGCAACTTAGTCTGAGTTATAGCGCTCTTCACAAGGTATAGGCAATAGTTTGTAGATAACAGAGTGTATGGATGAGCAAGCACTTCATATGAAAAAGAAAAAAATTAAAATTGAAAAATGCCCAAAGTGATTCACTAATTATGGGACAACCATTTGTGTTTGTGTCCAATAAGTAAAGATTATCTAAACATATAACAGTAGGATTTCGATCAAAACGACGAATAGTGGTTACGAAAAGAGAGCATTTATTCACTTTCCCCGTGAAGGAATTTAAAAGCATTTTACACTCGATTACGAACCTATCTTTCCATTCCTAGCGCCTGGCAAGCGATTATCAGCTGGCAGCCCATATGGGCTGCCATCGTCCCAGGAGCACATGTTGTTGGCAGCCCATATGGGCGGCCATCGGCGTGAATGTGTTAAAGGCTTTTTGTTGAAATATTTTCCTTACATTTACCAGATCCTGGACGACATTGGGCACTCCTTCAACGTTCAATCTTCAGAGGAAAACTCGAAAAAGTCGTTTTCTGGTTGAAGACGATGTGGTAACGAGGCTTACCGGCCACCCTTCAAAGTGCTTAAGAAAGTTCATGCTTTTTATAAGGTTGTGTTTCATGCTCCCTCGACAACAATATCTCAAATCATGGTGATAGGGCTTTCGCAAAGATTGGACAACTGAAAAAAAAACTTTTTGCATTCCGGACTGCATTTTTAAACAAACCTCTTCTATAAAAGTGGTCTTTCTCTTCTACATGCATTCATTTGAACCACATAACACTCATTAATTAAACCAAAAAAAGAAACATTAGAACATTGAAGAATATGGTACAGGATTTTATGTGAGGGAAACATGAAGTTTTCAAACGAGACCACGTGTTTAGAAATGACATTTCTAGATTTCGAAACTTGGTTAAGAAGTGCTACCAAATTCATCGTGGAGTGGTGGTCGGCCTCATTCCAAAGGCCAACTACGTTTCGTGGGGGATTTGTTAGCACATTGCACCCAGTCCACATCACCAATGAGTATTATAGATGGTCATCCGAAGGAACTATAGGAAACCTACAGGAACTTGATGATGTCAGATTGGGTTGAGAACTGATTCGGGACTACAATTTCTTCGATGCCCCAGATCTAGACAAGGTTTTCAATGGCTAGAACCGACCTTAATAAAATTCGTCCATATGAAAAAAGTGTGACCGCGAAAGGTCTCACGGTCTTGCCATTAATGTTCAACACCGCTCCATCCCATTGAAAACACAGTAGAATAGACAATATCAGGTTGAACAAATAAGATGCTAACAGTAGGAATTGCAAAGACGAGCTGTTATGTATGCGACTCCTTCAATTCGCCACATGACTACAGTAACACCCGTCGCATAGTGAGTGCGATATCATGTGACCCAGCTTTCGTCGAACTTCTACGTTGTTTGAAAGTATAATTACAGCTTTTTAGCGATCCTTGCTCCATCTCCTTCTAGACTGATAGGCTTTTGCTTTCTTTGTGATCGCGGGTCAGTTAGTTGGCATAGACTGCAAATTCAAGCCTATTAAACCGTAATTTGGCCCTTTCCATGGAGCTAGAGGCAAAAGGTTTTGATGAGAATGATGCTATTTAAGCAAGTTGATTTGTGTTTTGTTTGTTAACTGCTGTTTTAACGCCGCAGTTCGCGTTGCGAATGTTTCACAAGAATGCTGGGTTGTGAACAAAACTTTCGCCCCAGGCGGGACTAGAACCCGCACCTCTCGCTTTCCGGGCAAGTGCGCTACCAGTTACGCTACCGGGGCACCATTTCATTCCAACTCAGCTTTTCATGGTATACGTACCATAGCTTTCAGCACTCACACGTTTTTGTTTGTTTAAAATTGCAAAATTCATTGCTAAAGCTTAGCCTCGCGGTCATTGCCGATATCGGCTAACCGGCTCAACGTTATTACGTGTGAGTGCTGAAAGCTATGGTACGTATACCATGAAAAGCTGAGTTGGAATGAAATGGTGCCCCGGTAGCGTAACTGGTAGCGCACTTGCCCGGAAAGCGAGAGGTGCGGGTTCTAGTCCCGCCTGGGGCGAAAGTTTTGTTCACAAACCCAGTATTCTTGTGAAACTTTGCAGTCATTTCGAAAAAGTTTTGAAGCCGTCGAAGTAAGGGTTCGGCATTAAAGAGTGCGACTATGGGTGAATCGACCTCGCTGGAGTAATACGTGGATGTGACTAACCGATGGAGCGTTGAAAATCGAGTGCACGTATAAGAGAAAATAGAATTCTACTGAACAAGAAAGTGGCGGAACAGCCGTCACGATTATCACAGGGGTTTATGAGTGGAAATAACATCTTTTCGATAGCTGAAGCTAAAGGTTTGCCATTGGATTACATTGCAAAAAAATAAATATAATGACATAGAGACAGATATAATAGATGTGTACAATTTGGAAAAAAAACAGCCAATTATCTACCACTGCATGGATCAATTCATACTTTGTGTGTTATCGTAGGTAATAGATTTTCTCAATAGTTCGTGCGTATTTTTAACTCCACACTTGCGCCTACTTTATTTCGATCACAATCACTATCTGTCATCAAAATATGCGCAATCCCTAGCAGTGACTTGTTGCGAAAGCAACCAGAGAGCGGATGTCTCACTCTCAGAAGACTGGCGAAATAGGCGGTGATTTTTGTCGATTTCGGGGTAATTTTGGGAGCTGGGTTTTTGCCTGCATATGGCTGCTGAGCAAGAAGAATACGTAGCGGTGCAATGGATCATAGTCAGTGTTGTACGGTGGATGTACTGGAAGTCCCAGCTAATACTAAACTCCATAGTTCGTAGGGGGTGTCATCTTCGAGGCGTTCATATCCTTAGGGGTGACATTCAAACTAGGGCATTTAAAAACCGTTGGTGACACTACTAAGACTGAGCCCAGGATTGGGGATAACACCAGCAAGAAACAATGGTTGCTCTCATCCTCTCCCAAAATCCTTTCCCCTCCTCTTAGGCTTAATTCCGAGTTCTGTGGGTGGCCCATTCATTTCAATTTCTCCCCTAAGGACACGAGCGCCATCTTCAAAACAGGTGCCTCGGTCATGCCAAACGGACACACTTTTTTCAATTTCGTTTTAATTGTGGTGGTAGCTGTTGAAT